TAAATAAATAAATAACACACCCAGACTAATGGAAAAAACACACCAAGTGTTGTGCATGCCATCTCTGGATGTGAAGAAATGTGGAGACTTTGCTTTGACCCCATAAACCGCATGTGCTGTGGACGTTTTCTTATTCCTCTTGACAAATTTGTGGGCTCGGCGTTACGCTGTGGCCAAATCCTGGACTTCAAGAGTTCAGCCAAACCAAATAATGGCTGAGGAGTTGTTATGACCCCTCTGACCCTGTCTGGATCGTGCGTCTGGATTACGGTCCAAGACACACTTTACCAGCAAACTGCAGAATGTCACCTTGTCTGATGCCACATGAAATGGCTCTCCGCCCACTTGCCAGGCACTATTACCAAACCAAGATAATAAAATTGAACGAAAGAATACTCTCACCCGCTCAATAAATCTTCATGAGGTCAAGTTCAAGTGAAAACAGCAAATAAGAAACAAAGTGAAGCCAGATGTTTGTCTGTTTTCCTTGAACTAACATTAAACGGATGTAAGATTCAATCTAGATAGCATTTGGTTAACAGCATATATGCCAATCTGGGCATCTTGTGCATTATTAAAAAGCACTTTGTGTTCCTCTACTGTATCGTAAACTGGGGTGACACATTTTTTTCTAAGTTTAATGTTAATAGTCTGGGGGAATAGTCTAGGTATGTTAGGAAAGGACAGACACATACATTGTTTGACATCAACTTGGAGTAAGTGTGGTTTTCTCACAAACCACTTGCCCCTCCCAAAGCCTACATTTAGGCCTTTGGGAGGCATAGAGTCCATTCCATGGGTCTCATTCCTCTTAGCTGTTTGGATGAGACTTTGGGTGAAAGGGGTTACTCTGTGTGATTGATGAGCCATGGCCAATTAGAGGCTTAGCCTTGGAGGCCCACAAAGACACCCGTGATCTCAGACATAAACATTGGCGGCCATAGGGCCTGAAGATACCTTTTGTCCATGTAAAAAGGACAGGCCTCCGGCCAGCAGCTGGGGTGGGCGACAGTTCTCCTCTGAATGTTTTGGATGCTTCGCCGACTCAAAATATCTTTAAAAAGAAGTCGGGTAGGGTTTTAAAAGATAACAAGACTCTGTCCCAAATTCCACAGGTGATGTCAGTATTCTAGCATGGTGCCATCTCTGTGGGGTTAGGGTGGTGGATGGCCGCTTCATCTGACACCTTATGGTTGACGAGCAACAGGGCGCCAGCCAGGGGCTCATTAGACAAACTATGACAACAAGATGTTGCCCTTGAAAATCAATTATAAACAGGAGAGCATCTCTGCATCTTTTTCTGCTTGGAGTTATGCAGCACTGTCTGCCTCTTTCTGTTTTTTTAGGAGTTCTGACTCCACTGCCATTCAGATGGTCATCCCTGTGGGATTAGTGATGGCACTAAAGCCTCTGGGACAGTGCTTGTAAATCAGAGCAGATGAACTAGGGCGATGACAGGTCTGGGAGGCCTCCGTTACTTGACTACGCCATTTATTGGGGCTTCCTTAGAGGGGGTGTCTCATTATAGGCGCTTAGTGTGCTCCCCAGTGTGAGACATGTAAAACTAAAGTAAAAAATGATTTGGCCATTTTGTGAGGGCCATATGTGGACAGCAGGCTGTTTGCATGGAGTAACAGGGCCTTTCTTATTAATGTCTATTAATGGCCCTTCAGCACTTTGCTTACACAACCTGGGGCCCATGCTGCCTTCAATTGATTCAGCATGTCACCTTTTCACCACTAAGTGCCAAGGAGCTGTGTTTTAGATAGAAAAAATTGTAAATTCCTGGACCCTTGAAATTGCTAAAGAGACCAGTTTTCCTCTTGCCACACCAGCTTCACAGTAAACCAGACAGCCAGAGATCCTAACACTGTGCTAGCCCATCAATCTTACTGACATCTGCTTTCCACTTTAGAATTATTTGTCCTTACTCTGCTTGAAAGTAAAACATGCTATATTGAAACCATTTTGCTAAGATAACAAAGTATTTTAAGCGATAATTTGTTATTTTGTGAGGAAAAAATACAGACCCGTATCTACGCATTACTACAGCCTTCACTCCCATTTTTAGAATGTGTCACATATGGTATTCAGTAAATGTTTTTTATTTCAGACTCATTTATTAGAGCTATACCCAGCCTAAACATATTAAAAGTCGGCCATTGTTTTCCTCTAAGGCATATTTTACCGTGACTCCAAATGCATAAAAATAAAGCCCATACTGCAACTATACACCACTACAGGGCTAGCACTCCCTGGCTGCAATCAGTCTGCTTTTACTCTGATAAACTATATGTCATCACCCTCACACAATACAAGCCTTGACTTCTTTTGTGTCTGTGTTTCCCTCTGGAGAGGATGTTTGCAGCCATTTCATTTTTTCAAGATGCAGTGAAAGCAGCGTGATAAAAGGGCCTCATACTGAGACCACCACCAGAGCTAAAATAACTGTAAAGATCCTTTGAAAGAGCCCTTTGGATTGAACAGACCTCACAAACTCCTCCTATTGTTTGTGAGCCATTCCACTCCTCTTCGTCCATCTGTTCTTCAGGTCCTGTCTTTTGGTCCACCTTATGGATAGAAGCCATTAAAAGCTTGTCTGGCTTTGTCTTTACTCACTGGAGTGCATTATGCAATTATCTAAACAAGGAGCGCTTATACTGGCTTTAGGGGAATAACACACCAAATCCTTAAAAAGTGACATTATGTCTCATGGTATATTACTGCCTACCCTCAATAACAAATTGTATTTTTACATTTTTAGAATAAAGATATCCCAGTTATTCACACACAAATAAAACACCAAATTATATAGTCGAAATACATTAGTCCGAACTGTCAGACTAATTGTCAGGCAGAGGGATAAGGAGGGCTGGTTCCTTGGAATTGATTCCCCTGAGCTAGTCCAACTCACACTCATTGGCAGGGGATAAACTAGCCCTTGATGCAATAAACAAATATTATTCCATTGCAGTCCAGAGGAGGAGGGGCGCCTGCATACTCATGAATGAGTCTGTTTGTTAATGTGAGGCCCTGACATTCTGTTAAGGATGTCAGTCATCTGCAGTGGTAGTCTACAGATTGCTATACAAAAGATTATGGTTTGACGCAGTGCCATGCACAGCCATAAACTTGGCAGGTTTGACCCTACCCTCAGAAACTGTATTTCTGCAGCCCCGGAGAAGCAAAATGAAGCAAACATGGAACGTTGAAATTGTATAACAGTACCCTAGAAATAAATAATATGGTGTAAAACCAAGCAATAAACCTCCTTTTCAGCACTCACATTAAAACCAAACCCAAAGAGGTTGACCGGGTCAGTGCAGAATGAAATCTTGTAGAACAGCACATAATGGTTATCTCCTGTAATAAAGGTGCTCTTGTGCTGGATCTGAGATGGCCTTGTGTGTATTGTTGGCATTCATCAGCCCCAGCATCTTGATGGTGCATGAAGATTACACCATGTAATCTTAGCAGGGAAGGAGGAGCTGGCAGTAGAGTGGAATGAATGAGATGAATCAGGAGAATTGGATGCTCAGCTTGGACTGCAGTGGGATTTTTAGTTCATTCACAACAACTGTGGTTGTAAAGGATATTTGCATCTTTGTCATTCATAAAACAAATCATACTTGTCATATTATTCTGTGTATATTAAATACTGAATGAACCACGCTTGTAGAGTACATAACAGTTTCAGATAAGATTATACCTTATATTTAACTAGCAAATAAACAACAAAGAATGTTTTTTTTTACTTCTTTGCAGTAAATATGATCTCTACAATCAGAGCAGCATAATAATTGTCCTCCTGGTTCAGTAAAATGTTATTGTTTGAGGAAATGAAACACTGCAACAAAGCAGACAGTCATACTGTTTTATTATCTTTGTTTCAGTAAAGTGAGGCTGTAAAGTAAAATCGGAGGAGAGGGTATTAATCAGAAGGTTTCCATCTTGTTGGTCATGGCAGCCAGGGCCGACAAGATGATCATACACATAAATAACAGGCCAAACAGCTGGGCTAGTCAGAGGACAGGACAAGGGCAGGAGGCAAAAGGTCAGACATTGAATTAGACAGCAATTTTGAATTAAATGAATCCCGTCTTCAACTCAGATTTATTGGTCAGTGACAGATGTCTTCTGGTAACCTAACTAATAACTAAATAATAAAACGCCAACGGGTGTTTGTTACAAGTTAACACATTTTGTTACACAGTACTTTAATTCGGTTGAACTCACTGAAGTTCTTCAGGTGTTAAAAAAAGCATCAAAAGGTGCCTTGATGGTAATACATTTGCTTCCTCTTGAAACTTAAGTATCAATTAATTACAATAACATACAGCGACAGACACTATTGTTTTGAGTGGGAAAAAGCAGGTTTTCTCCACTGGTTTAGTGAGTGCTTGAGATGAGGACCTCCTTCATGAGAAATGAATGTACCTAAATTAAATTAGATGTTAATGTTAATTTCACACAGCTAATAACATATATGTCACAGGCGTGATTATTGTTTTGTCTGCCATCTTCTAAATAATAAGACAATTAAATGACATGCATCGCAATATGGGTGGCTTATTGTCACATCTGCTCAACAATTTCCTGGGGGAAACCTTGAGAAAAAGAAAAGAAATACAAATAGAGGAATTAAGGAACTGAAATTTGGGTATTTAAAGTATTTAAATACAACATATAAGTCTATTAAATGAGCACTTCATATGATATTCATTTTAGTTTTTCAGTTATTTTATTAATTTACTTTATTTATTCATTATGATTCTAAATTAAATCTAATATTGAAGGTTAGTTCATATAAGGAAGCAGTAGAAGTAATTGGATTATAATGATCATATCGCATCATATGTGCACAGTCTGGTGATAAGATAAATACACACTAGATTCATGCAATAATATGATTTTGATAGTTATTATGTTTATAATAATGTACTGCTTGTTTACAGCACCTGCGGCACAGACGTGTGTGCGTGCGCAGACCGCCTGACGTAGTTCGTACCCCGGAAGTGTTTCTTTTTTACCTAACGAGGTCAAAATGGCGACTGGCTGCATGTGAAAGGGTCGGAGAGGGAGCCGGCTTTATGATCGGAGAACATGTACAAAACGCCATGCAGCAGACTGTCAGGTAACACGGGAGGGAGCCGTCATAGTCCAGTCCACTGAAAGCAGCCCTGGAAGCTAAGGCGGAAGCTGGCTGGCTGACTTAGCATGTGGCTATCCGGCTAGCAGCTGAGATGTTTGTGCAGGTTTGAGCAGTGACCTTAGGTGGAAGTCAGCCGGTGCACAGGGACCACCGTGAGCTGACAGTGTCTGCTTTTACAACGTGTACGCTGTCTCTGTTGGGGCTGGGTGGTGTTAGCCTGCACGCTAAGCAGTGTTGACGCGGTTCGGAGCTGTTGACCTGCAGGTCGGATAAGGACACTGTCAACATGTGATGTTTGGGTTTATTCTTGGGCGTTTCTAGTGTTTTATTCTACCCTCGTTGGTGTAAGTGAGGCATGTGAAATACTAGGAACACCTCTCTATAACGAGCTACCCAGAACGCTTAGTCAGAAGTACAGATGTGTTGTCATTACTAATAATAATATTAATGTATAATGTGTATACATGTATATCTGTTCAGTCATCATATTATATATACGTATTATTATTATATTATTCATATTATCATTCTATACGGTTATTAGTGTGCCTGCAAAGCACACTACTATTATTCCTCATACTTATTATTATTATTATTATTATTTCTTCGTTAGTGGAGCCGGAGGCGAAAATTTGTCGAATAATTTTGTAAACTGCAAGGGGCACAAATCTCACTCTACAGAATTAGTTTTAAGATAGAAACGTAGGTAATTCGTTAGAGGTCGCAGTGTACCACTGATAAGCTGTCAGACAAATAGTTCTGGCGGGAAGCACAGCTGCGCATAACACCCTCCACGGCCATCGCACTCCAGTTAATTGGAGAGGGACATTTGAGGAGCTTGTTGAACCTGTTCTTTCTCAAACTCCCGAGGTCATTGTGTTGGAATAATCAGTTTCGCATCACAAATTTAGTATTCACTGAACAAACTATTTAAATGATCAGATGTACGATATGGAACAACCAATACGATAACCAAAAATTGCCTGTTTTTCATGGCTGATGCCGATATGGTGATTTTGCATTTTTGTATTTTAAAAAGAAGTTCATAATCTGTAGTTTTTACATACCTGAGGGTAAGAAAGGCTTAGATATATATGATGATTAATATCAACCAATGTTTTATCAGTTGTAATCTAATTATCCTGATCATGTATAATATAATAACATAAATTTCCCATTATTGGCTGATAATTTATCTCTCCCAATAATTATCGTGCATTTCTATTAAAAATCATGATGTGCCAAACAAACATGCTTTCTTAAATCTGGAGAACAAGACTTGTGGGCCATGATATCTCTTCAGAGCCACAGTATTTCATTATAAAGCTGTTTTGTTACACATTTGACCTCTATCAATAAATTGCAGCTTCTGCAATTTGCATATTGCACATGGCCATATTAGGATAATAATAATATTTCGGGTTTGTTTTGTTTAACTGTTTGTCTTTGCATGCCCATGTTCCTTTCAAGATTGAATCTGTGTTTAATATTCAACAGGATTATCGTAATCACTAAACATGGTATTTTACATTTCCTGTAGGTTTGGTTGGTGTAAGCGTGAAACAGAAATTAGTTCAAAGCGTTCCTCGATGTAACCAAACTGCTCGCAGCCTTATTCAGCTACACAGAAGAGATCATCTTAACTTCCTGAAACGCCAGGTATCTTTCGCTACGCACTCAGTTATATTGCTATAACCGAAAATGATTCCATAAATCACCTTTTGCACTTATTTTCCTTCCTTCAGTATGTAGCGAAGAACAACAGCGAGCTCTACCAACGTGCCATCCCCAAACAGGCTCCTGTCCTGACCATTGTGGATGAGAGAGATGACAGCGTTGAAAGACAAGTGCAGAGAATATCAACTATTGATCCTGTGGTCACAGATACTGTTTCACAGCCAGAGGATGTCACCAGTCGGGCACAGCCGGAAATATCCACCTTAAAGCCCTCTACAGAAGATGCAGCAGTACAGAACGATTCTGTTTCCAGTACGGTTTTGACTTCAGATGAGCCTCCCCATGTCCACGTGGAGACCGATGAGGCAAAGGAGGCCCGTCTAGACAAACAGTGGAAGCAGCTGAAGCTCGAAGTGGCTGACTTGCCAGATGTCTACGCCAGACTTTCCAAAATCAAACTCACAGGTAGAGTACAGTACACAGTGCACGTGGATTTTGTCACATACACAACTGTTCACAGATACACGATACATTACCCGAAATATATGCAGAATCATGTACGTCTGAAACTACAGGATATCAGAACTTGATAAACAAAGCAAGTGGATAAAGTAAATACAAACATGTGTTCATATCCACATATACAAAAATACCTGCATATTTACCATATACAGATTAAAACTATGCAAGCAGACACGATTTCATAGCAGTGCAGAGCATTGTGTCGGAGAAGACCGTTATTTGTCCTTCATTCAGTGAATAAGTCTGTTTGTAGGCATGCCTTTATTGTCTGTGGTGTCTGCCATTTATCTGTGGATGAAAAAGAGAGAACCCCATCAATCATCTGATCCGTCCTGGTCCTTTAATAAGTAATACTTAATGTTTTTATTTGTTCTATTATTCTTGCTTGGTGATTTCAGCACTGGTGGTTACGACTGCAGCAGCCGGCTATGCAATGGCTCCAGTGCCCTTTGACCCCATCATCTTCTCCGTGGCTTGTCTGGGAACGGGCCTCGCCTCTTGCACTGCCAATTCAATCAACCAGGTCAGTTATCCCCTCAAACAGGTCAAACCACTCCATGGCATGGCTATTTCATTATGTATGAGCACGTTTGTGTCTTTGCACACCACATGTAGGCCTAATCACAGCACAAGTCCTCTGAATGTAAAACTCAATGTCATTCAGCACTCACTGACTGACCACAGGGTTTAATCAACACCTCTTCTGGACATTGTCAACAAAAACTGAACATCATAAGCTTCACAAAGATAGGAGGAACTACAGAATTATACAGGTTTATTTTCTGATAGATAAACTGAGTAAATCAGTTGTGGTTGATCATTCATTTTACACAGAATTACCAAACTACAAAGATCCCATTAAACAAAAATATTAAACACATGGCTTGTGTAATTGTTTCAAGAAACGCAGTAAACAACACATGTTTCTTGTCTTTGATAAGTTTTATTTTAATGCCAATTTCGGTTTGGAAATGTGATGACGACTTGTCTTAGAGCTGGCAAGATATCTGTTGGGCTTAAAAACAATAACACATTTTTTGTTGACATGTTATACAAACATGAACGTGCTTGCTTACACACACATCTCGAGTCCTTTTTCTTTTAATGATGCTTGTGTTTTTGAAAATGCCGAAAGAGCCATTCTACATTCCTCTTTTGCTATGCATCTCAAACGCATTGCGCTCACTGTAATGCTATTATTATTTCCATGTTGAAAGCTTTTTCTGAAGCTATAAACAAAGGTAGTGGGTTGAAACACTTCAAATGCCTAGAATAAGTAGCGCCTCCCTCTGCTGTCTAGTGTTGACGTTGTATATAGGAATTTGCTCCGTGACTTAAGAATATTAGTATAATGGGTGACCTCTCCCTCAGCCCTAGATTGAACTCTGCTTAGTAGTGTCTTTGGCCTGTAATTTGGCAAAGGCCTTGATTACACTGCAGGTTCCTGCCCTTGGGGCCATCCCCCCTCCTGCCCACCCCCCACTCAAGCTTACCCTCAACAGCAACGTTCCAAGTGCTGTCTACATTGTTTTACAACAATAATGACGTTCCCCACCAAGTCAAACAAACTTAAATTGTACTGATACTAATCATCCTGGGTCTCAACTTGCTTTCTGTTATATAGACACAGTCTGACCTCCCTGTGCGTCACCTCAGGGGTTACATCTATGGATACAAATGTGCAAATGTTTATACAGTTTTGTTTTTGTAGTCATGTCTGAATAGTGTCAATCAGTCCATCTCTCAGGTTAAAATTGTATTGTCTCTTCAGTAGCCTGAAACGGAGCTGTGCTCCGACTCCTCTGTGCACCTCTACCTCACACTGAGCAGGTGTGTAAATATCCTTCAGGTATTTGAAAAATGTCCCCCCCTTATACTGCAGAGAGTAGGCCAGACTCAAGCTCCAAGAAATTCAGAGCGTTGACTGATGTAAGAGGTGGCTGCCACTGTTCGTAACCTGGGTGTCCCTTTATCTGTGGGCCCACCCTCACATCAGTCCTGTCAGTCTTCATTTTCTCCACTAACTCAGCCCTGAGGTTAGGATACGACATGGCTTCATATTTCATTGAAACAATGTTATTGGCCTTTCAGTGCCTCTCTCTTGGCCTCCTCCAGTCAGGTCTAGTTTCAAAACTACAGTAAAGGTGAAGCATGGGCAAAGTTCAGAGCAGATGTAGACCAAGTTCTTTTTTGAAAAGATAAGTGTGTGTTAAAAACCTGCAGGAATTACCTGTAGTCAGAGCCTCTACTAATTTGGACATTTTGGAAAAGTTAATATATTATATATTCTTTCAATAAGGTCAATATTAGTCACTTGAATTAGAATTAAGCAGGCAAAACTTTTCACAAATTTTCCAACCTCCTGCTCTGTCACTTCTAATCTAAAATAATACACATTTTCACTCTCATAGCATTTGTAGAGTAGACCATAAAACCTTAATGTGAAGTCATGAAAAGATTTGAGATTTGATTGTATAAATGGACCCTCCTCATAGTCATGATATGTATGTGTATATATACATGTGGGTAAAAAGTGTTCTGTGGTAGAATGTATGGTATTTTGGGAATGCTTCACATGGTTTCTGTAGATAAATATACAGTGAACTGTAAAGAGATCCTGGTGGAATATTACTTCAACATTTCTCTCTGTTTTCACAAATGGCCTTGTGTGTATTAGCCTGAAGTTTATCAGTGCTTACTGAGGCCAAGAGCTTCTTTTTTGTGGCTGGTAGCTGGTATGTGAGCCCCAGCCTTCACACTAGTCAGATTCATTCTGCTCCCTTATCCCTTGTTCTCTGTGGGGGCATTTTGTGTGTCATCGTAGTCTTAATTGGCAAGCATTGGAGATGGGATCATTGTTTCAGACAAATTAGCCACCTGTCTTGAAATGAGGCTGACTTTGAAGTCAGACAATGCCGTGCTAGGGCCCATTTTCATTTAAGCAGTGGTTTAAAGTATAAACATCATTAGGAAAGGAAAGTTATTTGTAGTTGGTGTCTTTTCTCTCTCTGCTTGTTTGGTATGAATACTGTGTCTCTCTACATACGAGATGTAACAGTAGTTGTTGGTGTTGCTTTGTGTGGAGAAGAATGTCATTTTCCTCTGTGTAATTATACGCACAGAAGCACAAGGGATGTCATGTGTGACACATAATTGCCTGTTGCACTGCCACTGTGGCGGCACCCTACACTTCTTTGCAATGGAGTAACACACTCTGTTGGCTCTTTTTGTCAAAGACACACCCTCACCTGTGTGTAATTGTTCCCAAAACTTTGGTTATTTTACCATTTATTGTTTTACAATCCCAAAAAGTGGAATGGAGAAGAAAAAAATCAACCAACCTTTAGATCTGCTGCCAGAGTTTTTTTTATTCTTACTCTCTTTTATCTTGATAAAGAGGTGCTTCACCATACGGGTGGTTAGTTGTGATCAAAGCTGTCTTTTTATATGAAAAATCAAACAAAAGCTTCACAAACAAATCAAAACAGAGAAAGACCTTAGTGAAGATCACTTCCTATGGATTCTGCTGCTCGGCCCTAATAATTTAATGCTCAGCATCTAAAAAGGCAGGGGAGTGTGCAAGTATGAGACCACACAACTGTCAAATTACCTTGAGGAAAGGAGGAAAATGCCTTGAGGGAGAGAAAAATGCTTTAGCTCTTGGAAGTGGCAGCCAGACCTTCAGTGGAGCTGTCAAAAGCCAAGGCTGCTCTTTGTCCCATTGGGAAGTGCCCGTAGGGCAAACAGAAATGTTGTGGTTTCCTTTTAAAATGTTACTCTATTTAGGAAACTGACGGAAGGGTGTAAGCACTTGGAGTCACGTAACAATGGCATTTCAGTCTAGAGTTTCTCACCACAGTCGAAAGACTTAATGCTGTCATGTCTGTCTTACAATCAGGGAGGACAGTCAGCGCCAGCAGCAAAGGGATGTAATTATTTGAGTTTCCAGTTCAAGTAGCTCTCATTGGTTGTCAATTATGAACTTTTCTTAGCATGTTATGTTTTGCTTACACCTCCGTCTTGCTGCTTAGACTACCATTAAAAGCTTTTGTGGAGGTGTTTAGCTGAAAAGGGTAATGCTCTGTAGCAAACAGAAACTCTGTGAGAGGTGGATCAGCATGCTCAAAGTCTCACCAAAGGTTTCACTATAGAATTTCTTCTGTTCGTCTCTAGGGTCCTGGCTAACGTTAGTAGAAAAAAATGCTGGTTGGTCTGGTTTTCAGGACCTATAGGCCCCACACCAGGCACAGCCTCCACAGGTGTTCCAGCCGTCATCACCTTCCAGTCTGGCCACTACTTCAGCTAATTGGATAATTGGGTCAGTCGAGAGTTTCATGCTGGAGCCTAAAAGAGCCTAGGGGGGAGTCCGAGGTCCCCAGCAGCGCAAAAAAGACCTGATATGGCCTTTTACTGTCAAATAAGTACCGCTAGACTATTTTGACAGCGGCTATAGTGTAAGTCACACCATGTCAGCTTGCGTGTTTGTTTTGATGAAAATTCAAGCTGGCTTGTTTTGTGGCTGCCTAGTGTCATTTCTGCTTTCGTGACCATGCCAGTGAGTTTTCTTTTATGTCTGTGTCTCTCCTGTGGTGAGCTGTCTGAGGCTGGCACGCATAAGCGAGCCCCCACAAGCCCCCAGCCCATCCACTACAAGCTACGCCCTTCTCTCCTGTCCTGTGCAGGCATGCATTATTTACCCTCCTGCATGCCTCCTTCAGTGTGCACCTTGGTCAGCCCCCGTGTATGGGTACATGACTGAACATGGGGATAAGTTATAGCAGACAATTATGTGTTATCAGTACATTCTGATAATGTGTTAGATTTACTTTTTTATGTTTATTAAGATAAAAAAAATCACATCATTTTCTAAGGATTAAACAAAAGTTTAACATTTTAAAAAAAAAACACAACATTTGGCCCTGTGAATGTAAACTCTGACAGAGCTACAGAGCTTTTGTAGTTTCACTGCACACTGCTCGAAACTCAATAATGAGCATTTTGGACATGATTGATTTAGATGATTTCTATAGCTACATGTAGAAGCTTTTAATCAGCAGAATAATGGGAACTGATTCAAAGTGACGGCACTCGGATGTTATTTTAATCACTTCAATACACAATGCAGTGTCATCATATAAACCAACTATATTGTCAACTCCTCAACAGTCTTATGATACCACAGTATACTATTTCAAGCACATGGTTTTGCATTGCAGGATTGTTGTCACAGTCTTTATCTTTATCATCTTTCTTTTGTTTGCAGATGCAGTGATCTTGTTAATCGTGTTTATCCACACATTTGTAGGTCAGTTTGGTGTGCTGCCACCTGAAATGTTGAAATTATTTTACATTTTGAATGTCCCCCTTAAGGCATATCTGGTGTAATGCATGAGTCTGTAAGGGTTTTCCCACTGTTTTACTGATGCAGATTTACAGACTGGTCCTTAAATAACACTTAAAGTAAGTGCTAAGTAAAACTGTATAATGTTTATATTATAGTGCAGTCAGAAAGTATTACTTTTA